TGCGCTAAGAGCTCTTAAAGTGTGTATTCCTGTCCTTCGCCCGGCTTATAGGGACCCAGCCTCTCTGGAAGCCACAGATCAAAAGCTAGTCAAGTGGCTTCTATGACAGGAGCAGCTGTGCCTAACCCGATTTTCCTAATTATCCTCTAAATGGGATGCATCCTCCGAGTCACAGAGGCTATGTGCACTGCATACTAAGAGGCAGAGGATCGTGTCTGCGGAGATGGGAGCGAGGTGCTTATTTCTGCATCCATTTAGGTGCTTTCTTTGGAATAGATTAGTGTTTATGTTTGCTGAAGTCTGGCGTTTTGGAAAGTCTTACTTAAGCCGCATCAGAGAGGCAAGCCAGCCAGGGGGGAGAGCTCAAGGGTTGGGGGGGGGGGGGGCGCGAGGAGATAGGCCGACATTTTCTCTTTCTCTCTATAAAGAAAATGCAAATTAAACTATAGCCATCAAAGAAGTGTGTGTGTGTGTGTGTGTGTGTGTGTTTCTGGGTTCACTCATGGATGGGACACATGTACATATGTGAATGTGTATGTGGAAACCAGAGGTCAACGTTGGATACCATTCCTCAGCACCTGTCTGCCTTTTAAAACATCTTGAAAATTTTCTTCTTTATGTGTATGTATATGTGCATATGTGGGTATCTTCCCTTGGAGGCCAGAAGAGGACATCAGATATCCTAGAGTTTGGGGGGGAGTCACACGAGGTCGTGAGCTTCCATGTGGCTGCTGGGAACCAAGCTTAGGTCTTCTGCAAGAGCAGCAAGTGACCGTAACTGCTGAGATGTCTCTGCAGCCCATCCATTTGGTTTTTTTTGTTGTTGTTTGTTTGAAACAGAATCTCCCACTGGGATCACGACTTGCTGATTAATTTAGATAGGTTGGCCAGCGAGCCCCAGGGGTTGGAGCATCTTTGCCTCCTAAGTGTTGGGATTGCAAACATGTACCTCTGCACACAACACTCGATACGAATGCTTGGGACTGAACTCAGTTCCTCACGCTTGTGTAGCAAAGCTGCCTCCTCGGCCTCTAAAGATGCCTTCAGTTGCTGCCAGTGACATTTATGAGATGAAAATCCATTTTTAACCATTGCAGGAGTCTCAAATCGTCTTCCAAACTGCACTGACTAGGAAACTACCTCATTTTGCCGCAAGTGCTGTGTACAAAACAGGGCGAGTGAGCAGCTCTCAGCCCAAGAGACTGCAAAAGGCGTCCATCATCAGGGAAGGGTGCTGTGAACTTCACCATAAAGCAAGTGTCAGAGACATTGGATTTTGATTTATGCAACTCAAATGCCTGGACCCCTCGGCGGTCCTGTATAGCCCACGCCAGTTTCCCTGACAACAAACATCCCGTCTGTGGCTTCTCTTCTTGAAACATAGGAGCCCCTGTCAGGAGCTGGGAGTCTGCAACTCCTTCTTTATGATGTATGGTTTGTTAGAAAGCAGGAATAGGGCCAGAGAGATGGCTCGGCAGTTACGAGTATATACAGCTTGTCTTAGTTACTTTTCTATTGCTGTGACAAAACACTATGGCCAGGGCAGCTTATAAAAGAAAGTATATATCCGGGTGGTGGTGGCGCACGCCTTTAATCCCAGCACCTGGGAGGCAGAGGCAGGCAGATCTCTGTGAGTTCGAGGCCAGCCTGGTCTACAAAGTGAGTTCTAGGGCAGCCAGAGCTACATAGAGAGCCTGTCTTGAAACATCATTAGGGCTTATAGTTCAGAGGTGGAGGCCATGACCATCTGGTTATGGGAACACAGCAGCAGGCAGACAGGAGCTGGAGCAGGAGCTTAGAGTTTATATTTGATCAACAAGCATAAGACACAGAAAGAGAGAGCTGACTGGAAGTGGTGTGGGGTTTTGAAATCTCAAAGCCAGATTCTGGTGACACATCTTCTCCAACAAGGCCACACTTCCTCATCATTCCCAAACAGCTCCGCCGACTGGAGTCCAAACCTTCAAACATATGAGTCTCTGGTGGCTGTTCTCATTTAAACCGACACACTGCTCTTGCAGAGGAGCCGAATTTGGGTCCCAGGACTCACACCAGCTATAACTCCAGCTCCAGGGAATCCGTGCTTTCTTCTGGCGTCTGGGCACCTGCGCTCGTGTGTGCAAACCCATAATTAAAAACAAAATAACTTTTTTTTAAAGGTAGGATTGGATTTGTTTCTATAGTATTCAAATTAGAAATCTGAATACTATATAAAGAACAGACATCACACATATACATAATTAAAAACAAAATAACTCTTTTTTTTAAAGGCAGGATTAGATTTGTCTCTATAGTATACAAATTATAAATTTGAATACTATATAAAGAAATTTGAGACTTTCGTATGCTTGCTAGTCACTGATAAAATAGTCACCTAGCTTTTCAAGCCAGTGACCCCTCTGTGCCCAGGACGGCAGTTGATGCTTCAGTCTCCCACCTTGGCTGTCCTGCCTCCTACCAGGACCAAGACAGATCTTTTCCATTTTTTCCCCTGGTTCCCACTTCCCAGTTCCATCTCCCTTGCCCTATCCTGGTCAGTGATCTTCCATCTGGGGTGTGTTGGGGCCTCACAAAACAGTGTGAAGGTCTTGTGTGTGCTCTTTTAGTGGAGTAGATTCTAAGAAGCCACGGAAGCCAGAGCCATGAGAGTCTCTGTTCCAGCTCTCAGTTCCTAAAGTCTCTGTCCTACGCAACTGTGTCCCCACCTCACAGGAGTATCAGTAACCACATTTGTGATCTATCAGCGTTCTCCCTGCTTGCTAGTAACATGCAGATTCTCTCTTGAGACAGAAATGCCTTCAAGAGCCCTCTGGACCTTCCCATCCCTAACCCTGGCATGCACTCTGCGAGGTTTGCCAGTCTCTGCAAGTTCTCTCCTCTCTGTCTGCCTTCCATCTGCCATGCCCTTATCACACTCGTTAGTTGTTTTCCTTGCTATAAATGCAACTTAAGGGTTTAATGTGTGGCTTGTGGTTTGCAGGGATAGTCAGTCAAGATGGGGCGGGTATGGCGGCAGGCGTGTGCAGCAGCTTTTTAAACTGCAGTCAGGAAAAACAGGCAGGAAGCAGAGAGAGAAGAGTGTCGCTGCTCGGTTCTCTCTCCTTTGTATTAGTCAGGGTTCTTAGAGCAGTGATTCTCAACCCTCCTCACGCTGCGACCCTGTGATACGGTTCCTCAGGTTATGGGGACCCCAACCGTTAACTTATTTTTATTGTTGCTTCATAACTTTAATTTTGCTACCGTTATGCATCATAATGTAAACATCTGTGTTTTCTGATGGTCTTAGGCAGCCCCTGCAGAAGGGTCATTTGATCCCCAAAGGGGTCACTACCCACCATTGCTCTAGAGGAACAAATGATAATATATGTATGTGTGTGTGTGTGTGATTTGTTAGAGTGACTAATAGGCTGTGGTCCAGCTAGTCTAATGATGGCTGTCTACCAACAGAAAGTACAAGAATCTAGTACTTGCTCAGTGCATGAGGCTGGATGTCTCATCTGGTCTTCAGTATATGCCAGAATCCTGAAGAGGTGGGCTTCTAATGCCAGTGTTGAAGGAATAGACTTGCCAGAAAGAACAGGGGAAGGCAAAGAGGGAAAAAAGCTTCCTTTCCCCATGTCCCTTATATAGGCCGCCAGCAGAAGAGGTGGCCCAGATTAAAGGTGAATCTTCCAACCTCAAATGATGTAATGATTTAGAGTGGTTCTTCCCACCTCGAATGATGTAATTAAGAAAAATCCTCCCCAGCTGTGCCCAGCCACTTAGGTTTTAGTTAATTCCAGATGTGGTCAAGATGATACCCGAGAACAGTCATCACACCTTTTCATTCAGTGCCCAGAGTAGGTAATCCCCTGGGTATGTCCAGAGGTTCGTTTCCAAGGTGGTCCCGGGGAGTTGGTCGAGTTGACGATCAGATTCACCATCGCATGAATGCAGCGAGTTTGCATTTGTGAGATTTCCTTGATCCTGGGATCTAGAGGCTCCTCCATGGTTAAGGGAGATGCAGCCTCAGCACCGAGAAGCGGTCAGGGAAGGCCAAAGGGCCTGTGGTATCAGGAGGATGGGAAGGTGGCTCTGTAGAGACAGCAGCTACCAGGACTTGGGCTGGGAGACAGATGATTGCCCCTGAATGTGAGTTTTCTTTCTCTGCTAGTGAAGGAAGGCCTTTCTTTCCTTTGCCTCTGGAAACCACGCCTTCCTAACAACCCTCTTCCCCATTTCTTCCTAAATCCCGGCCCTCTGCTCCTTCTCCACCTCCTGGAGTCCCCACTGTCCCCATTCCACCTTTGGCTTGTATCTCCATAGGTAGTGGGCACGCTCTTCTCCATGACAAACTCCAAGGCGAGGCCAGCTTGGCCACCCCTTCCGCCAATGTAAATTGTTAATATTTCCTGCCCTGAACTGAAATTGTTCACCAGAGGGAGTGAGGCTCTGGAGCCGGCACAAAGGGAGAGGGAACCATTCCCAACCCACCTTCAGCCCCACTCCAGGGAGCCACCCTCATCCCCACGCTATGATTAGGTGGGGCAACTTCACTCCAGCCCAGGTCCTGATAGCTCCTATCTCTGCTGCACCGTGCACCCACCCTCCTCCTGCAACCACAGCCCATTGGCTCTCCCTCTGCGTGTGCCTGCCTGGCTCTCAGAGTCCCTAGAAGCCCTTTCACTTTCCCCCTAGTAAGCCTCCCTGCCTGGCCTCATCCCTGTTCGTCATCTTCTGTTCCCAGGTCAGCGTCAGTCAATTTGGTGCAACTCAAACCTGGACATGTTAACCTAACATCCTTCCCTGGGTCTTCGTTCTTCCTCCAGGTGCCTTTCCTGACCCTCCTCCCGCCCCCTGGGAGCTGGTAGGTGGCTCCCGTGGAAGTCTTTGACTGAGCTTGCCTTGGGGGAAGGGTCACTGTGTGTGAGGCCACTGTCCTACAAAGGCACCCACTACACCCCCAAGCATCGACCCAATAAGGGATGCCGGGAATCCTGGCAGAGACTCAACAGCTGACTTTACACGTTTGTGGGACTAATTGATTCTGGGCTTCCAGCACGCTGAGGCCCGCACAAAAGGGGGTTGGTGGTGCCTGGCACCACGCACAGGGTCCGGTTGCGTTGTGAGCGGGAGCTCAGGGGGAGCTCAGTTGTAGCGGCCGAACCTCGAGGTCAGCAGGCAGGGGCGGGGAAGCCGCGGCCGCGCCCTTCTGGCCACTCCCCGGCCGGCGGTGGGTGGCGCGCACTCCCATATGTCCTCCGCGCCACCACGATCGCCCACCCCGCGGGCCCCCAAGATGAAGAAGGACGAATCTTTCCTGGGCAAGTTGGGCGGCACACTGGCGAGGAAGAAGAAGACCAGGGAGGGTGAGTGCGCCCCGGTGTTCTCTTGGCGCCAGCCGGCTGCCAGCTCTGTCCCTCGGGTATCTGCTCCCTACTCGCCCTGGCGGCGCCAATGCTAGGCTGCACTGTCCGCAACCTCTGCGACGGGCCGGTCCTTGTCCCTGCGACCTTTGCAGAGCTGGCCTGGTGCCCAGGACGTTAGTCCTGCTCTGGACACAGACCGAGCACGCTATGGTTCCTGTGTCCACCCTTGTCGTGTGACATTCTCGTCGCAGTGATTGGACACATGCGTAATGAGAACGGGCTGCTGACTGCTTGATGCCTGCACGCGTGGCTTAGTCCCTAAACTGGGAGTCACTGAAAGGGCATAAGATACCCAGGCCAGGAGTCTGGGAAGCCTGGAACCAGGCCACGAGCCCCCACTCTCCGCCCCCCAATCATACCCCTTGCGCAGAAAAGTAGTTTGAGAACAACATCCTTTTACTTTTTAAACTTTTTTTTCTTTTTTTTCTTTATTTTTTTAACTTTTTAAACTTTTAAAAAACAGAATTTCAATTGCTCCCTGGCCAGTGCCTTAAGCATCCCGGAGTTCCTAGCCCTCCCCTAGTGAGACTTTCCAACCTCTATTGTTTTGGCCTGGAGGCTCTTGCCCTTGGGGCTGAGGTTCCCGGCGCTCACCAGGAATGGGAGGGGCTTGCTGAGAGAAAAGGCAGGTAGAAAGAAGCCCCGTGGCCAGACTTCCTGGGAATTAGCCGCCTAGGTTCATCTGATAGGTTGCCCAGAGGGTCTCCTCCAGCCGCAGGAGGCAAACTGACTCCTAGAAAGCCTTTCTGGACCTTCAGGGATAAGATAGTCCCAGGAGGCTGACTAACAATCACCCCATGGGCCCGAAGGACAGTGTGATATATTTACAAAGGAGCCTTCAGGCTGTAAATTATGGGCAGGCTCACTCTGGCCTTTCAAGGTATCTTGAAAGGCAAGGCACGTAGGGAGCTGTAGAGCTTGACTGGAAGTGTGGAAGTGTGGTACTACTTACACTTTGACAGAACCGGTGAAGATCCTGTGGTTCCCACACCCTGCCCAGACTTGTCTCTCCAGGTCTTCAACCCCACAGTGCCCTTGATCAAACTGGATTGTCTAGTTCCCTGAGGGCATGAAGGCCTAGTCTCTCCCCGCCCCCCCACCCTTCTCCTTCCCCCAATCCCCATTGCAGACCCTCCAGGTCGATCTGTATTGCTTTCTTTTCTATCAGGTCTCCTGCATGAGATGTACGGTTGTCTCCCTGGCCTGGCTGGTGTAGTATAATCATTATGATCCTGCCTAGAAGTCTGTTCTCTTCATCTCACAAGCTAGGACCACGACGGACCTTTGTTCATTCCGTTGTCTGGTTTTTATTTGGTTTTGAGTTGTGGTTATGCTATGCCACCAAGTCCGGACTCAAAGTCCTGGATTTAGGACTTTGCCTCTTGCCTCAGCCTTCCCGTATCAGGAACTGCAGGTATTTTGCCACCCGCTCGTGGCTTACCATCTGTGAATCTGATGTGATTTGGATACTGTCCAGACCTTCAAAAGTAGAGGGGAGGCTCAATCCTTCAGGGCCCTGGGAATTGATGCCATAATGTGGAAGCCGATGGGAAGTCCCATGATCCTAAACTGTAATTGTCAGAGGACCCAGGAACGGGTGTGGTGATGTTGGGGGATGAAACCTAACAAAAAATAATCTTTTATAGAAAAACCCGCATAAGGGTGTGAATGGTTACAGTTTTTGTGTGTTCTATGTGTGTGCACATACGTGTACAGGCTGGAGGTCATGCTTGGTATCTTTCTCAGTGTTCCTCATTATCTATCTATCATCTATAAATCCATCCATTTCTCTATCTCTGTCTGTCTGTCTGTCTGTCTACCCTGGCTAGCCTAGAACTTGTTGTATAGACCAGGCTGGCTTGAAACAAGACCAACCTGGTCTTGCCATCTGAATGCTGGGATTAAAGGCATGCGCTACTACGCTTGGTTCCACCTTGTTTTTCTGAGGCAAGTTCTCTCATAGAACCTGGAGCTCTTTGACTTGGACCAGCAAACCCCAAGGTCCTCTGTCTTTACCTCTTCTGACTTGAGATTACAGGTGAGCAACACTTGGCTTTTGGCTTTTTAAAAACCATCAGTGCTGGGGCTAGAAGTCCGGTCCTTGCGCAAGCAAGCACTTTGCGGACTGAGCTGCCTTCCCTGCCCCTTACAACTTTTCTGAGGTGGTACTTAGCACTATTGGAACACGAGGGCTGCACAAGTCAAATAGTGAGCTGGCCTCAGTTTCCGATCCTAAGTGCGTCTCTGCTTGCTTGTATGAGGCCGTATGTGTTCAGAAGACAGAGGACCAGTCTGGCCCAGTTTAAATGCACCTAGAACCCCAGCAGCACCTTCCTCTGCCTGCCGCTTCTGCTGGTGTTGCCATCCTGCCTCGGTTCTCAAGGTTGGAGAATACCTGTCCCCCCTATAACCAGAAAGCCACAAACCCCAACTGGTTTCTGAGACAGGAATGGACGGACAGACCAGCCTTGGAAAGGCCGAATGGCTTCCATGTGGTCCTCTGGGGAGTGGAGAAGGAATGGAGGGGCCAATGTGAAGACTGTGTAATGAGGTCTTGAATAATTGAGCGTTGAGAGCTGCCAGTATTTCTGCAGACCTGTTGCCTTGGCAACTGGCCCTCCTGACTGCTCTTAGCCTTGACTTTGGGCCGTGGGAGCTTATGCATGGATGCCTGCTAGGGAATGGCCAGGGGGAGGGCATGGGGGCTTTCCAGCCTGACAGCCAAACACTGTTTCTTCTCTTTCGTCAGAACATCCAGGGTGGACTCTGGACATTTCCTGAGTTGAGGACCTCGGAAGTAGGGAGGGGATGGCTGGTGAAGTTCAAGGTTCGGGGACATATGGACATTTAGCTCCACCCGGCCTGGCAGAGTAGCAAAGAGGGGACAAATGTTCTGTCATGTTCTAGGAGATAGGGGTAGGAGGTGGGGCATGCTAGGGTGCCCAGCACAGGAAGTGTCTAAGAATGAGCGGGGCGTGATTCAGTCCAGTGGAGGCACTATAGTTGCACGGGGTGGCCTGGTCACAAAAGGGAAGTGTGACTAATTGTGCACATTGGAAAACGGAAGGGAACGCCTTCAACACTCAGGCTTCCCCATGGGGAACCTGAGTCTGTGCCCTGAGAGGTCAGGAGGCAGCTTACAACTTCTGGAGGTCAGGGTATGGAGGAGGGTAGGTACGGAAGAAAGATGTCCCACACAGGGTCCCCTGTGAGTGCAGGAGGGAAGGCCCAGAGGTCCAAGGATGGAGCCCGGACGGTAACTGCGGCTGTTTAGATCTGAGACACAGCTGTCCTCTAGTGATAAGGGGAAACTTAAGGTTCAACTCCCCAGGAGGCCCTTCTGCTTCTGGGACAGTCATCTAACGGCACACACCACTCCCTAGGGACAAGTGTTGGGGTTTCTCAGAGAGCCCGGGGGGCCACCAGACAAGAGGTTTCTTGTCCCCAGCTGCCTTAAGACACACATATGTAATGCATGACACATTAATACTTTACAGTTAGACAATCTATCATCTATCAACTCTCTACTCTACCAATTATCTATATCATCTGTCAATCTGTGTATCAGGCAACTATCTATCTGTCTGTCTGTCTGTTTGCATGCACTTTTGATTCCTAGAAATGGAGTAAAGACTGGAGTGTGCACCCTCCCCCACCCCCCTCAATTCTTCCAGGCAGTGTGAAACTTCATCTCAGACCTAAACCAACTTAAGTTTCTGTCTCGAAGCCCATAGTTGACAGTGAGGCTGCTCTTATCCTGAGTGCTGAGACAGTGTGGAATGAAGGATCCCTGCTGCCTGGTTACCAGACAGTGACACTGTCCCAAGACCCTTTCCTCTCTGCCCTGCTTGTCTGACCCTCCCTTCCCCAAGGCCCCTAAATTCTTGAATTTTTTTTCCTAAACAACCTGCGTGTTTTGTCTTTCCTAGAATCATGAGTGGAATCCAAGTGTGTGTGGCTTTTTATGCTGGCTCCCTTCACTCACAACTAAGTTTCCTCCATGTGGTCATTGGGCCGCTGTGCGAGGCTCCCATGGTGCTGAGAATTCAACCCTCTGCCTTGTGCATGCTGGACAAGAGGGCGAGCATTTCACCCACTGCTAGAATTGAGGGGTTGGGATCCCAGCTGGAGCTAATGGCCTACTCTAGTTTGCCTCTCTGTTACTATGTCAAAACCCTGACCAAAAGCATCTTGAGGGGGCTGGAGAGATGGCTCAGAGGTTAAAGGCACTGGCTGCTCTTCCAGAGGTCCTGAGTTCAATTCCCAGCAACCACACGGTCACATATAACTATCTATAATGAGATCTGGTACCCTCTTCTGGTGTGCAGGCATATATGCAGGCAGAACACTGTATACATAATAACTAAATAAATTTTTGAAAAAAAAGCATCTTGAGGGAGTAAAGGGTTTATCTGACTTATACGTCCCGGTCACAGTGGGTCATTGATGGAAACTGGGGCAGGAGCTAAAGCAGGAGCCATAGAGGAGGTTCGTTTATTGGTTCACTTGCTGGCTCTTGTTCAGCGAGCTCACACAGAGCCCTAGCCCTCCCCTGTCAATCATCCATCCAGACCTTTCACAGACAGGGCCACGGGTCAATCTGATAGGGGCAGTTCTTCAGTGAAGGTTCCCTCTGCCCAGGTTGTGTCAACTTGACAATGAAACCTAACCAGGACATATCTTCCACTGAAAACAAAAAATAACTCTAAATTAGCTAGAGGAAAGGGGACGCCCCCAGAGAAGATCCCTCAACCAGGCCCTTCTGGGGAAGTCGCAGGGAGCTGCCTTGTGACTGGGCTGTGGTATGGCATGTGGGGCCATGGTCAGCCACAGAGGCAGGTTCTGGGGTTTAGCAAGAGTGACCAACCTATTTGGGTGACAGTCATTAAAGGCCCTGCAGGCCACAGTGTGGAGTAGACAGTGAGGAGGCTGGTGTGGGC